ACTGATAGTGTGTTTAACAAACTTAAACTAGCTTTATTAAATGTCAGGTATTTGGCAGGAAAAACATTTTTAATCAATGATTTAATCACTGAGCACAATCTCAATTTTATGTTTTTAACAGAAACTTGGATTGAACAAAATAACAGTGCAGCTGTTCTTATCGAATCAACCCCTCCCAACTTTAGTTTTATGAGTCAGGAAAGAATGCATAATAAAGGGGGTGGAGTTGCTATTCTGTTCAATGATTCCCTTCAATGCAGGAAGACATCGTATGGAAACTTTGATTCTTTTGAATATGTGGCCCTTCGGCTGAAATGCTCCTCTCGAGCTCTGTTCCTAAATATCTATAGACCACCCAAATACTGTGCAAGCTTTTTTGATGACTTTACTGAACTGCTGTCTATAGTGTGTATTGACTTTGACCGTCTAGTCATTGTTGGTGATTTTAACATCCATGTTGACAACCCCCAGGACAGAGGGGCTAAAGAACTGTTTTGTGTTCTTGATAGCTATGGACTGACTCAGCATGTGACGGAGCCCACGCACAATAAGGGGCACACTCTGGACTTAATTATCTCAAAGGGTCTGAATATCTCTAAGGTTGTGGTGACTGATGTTGCACTCTCTGACCATTCCTGTGTTTTCTTAGAGAGCTCTATTTCTGTTCACAAAAATGTTCAAAAAGAGGTAACCACAAAGCGATATTTAACTGAAAATACTAGGGAAATGTTTACTCAGAATTTCTCTTCCACACTTGCCCCTGCCAACATCTCAGTAAATGAGCTAGTAGATCATTTTAATTCAAAAATTAAAAATGTTATAGATGCCATTGCTCCAACTAAGGTAAAGGAAGTGTCTGGCAAGAAAATATCTCCATGGAGAAAGGCCATGACCGTGAAAACAGAAAAAAGAGAATGTCGAAAAGCTGAACGCAGGTGGCGAAAAACAAATCTCCAGGTTCACTTTGAAATCTATAAAGAGAGACTTGGCCTTTATAATTTGGAATTGAAAAACGCACGACAATCGTTCTTCTCTGACATCATTACCAAAAACAAAAACAACGCACGTGCCTTGTTTGCTACCGTCGACAGACTAACTAACCCCCCAGTGTCAGTAGCCTCTGAATTTCTATCCACCAGGGCGTGCAATGATTTTGCCTCCTTTTTCACTGACAAAATTCAGAAAATCAGACAAGCAGTCAGTGCCTCTGCATCAGGAACAGCAAATGTGTTGTCCCTATCTCCACTTAACACCAATTCAGACATCATGACACAATTCCATCAGATTAATGATAAAAACCTACAGGACATTATTCAACTTCTGAAATCCTCCTCTTGCTGCCTTGATATTATTCCAACAGGATTTTTCAAAGATGTTTTGCCTTGCATGGCCTCAGATCTACTTCATATAGTAAACAAATCTCTTCACTCAGGTATTTTTCCACAGGCCCTGAAAACTGCAGTCATTAAACCGCTCTTAAAAAAGAATAATCTAGATGCTTCAGTAATGAACAATTACAGGCCCATATCAAACCTCCCATTTCTAGGTAAAATCATTGAAAAAGTTGTTTTTCAACAGTTGAGTAATTTCTTGCATTTAAATGACTGTTTTGATGTGTTCCAGTCAGGCTTTCGTCCAAACCACAGCACTGAGACTGCTCTTGTAATGGTCTTTAATGACATCCACTTAAACACAGACAGTGGCAGAACTTCAGTGTTAGTATTATTAGATCTCAGTGCTGCGTTTGACACTGTTGACCACAGCATATTACTAGACCGACTGGAAAACTGGGTGGGACTTTCGGAAACAGTTCTGAATTGGTTTGAATCCTACTTAAAGGACAGAAACAACTTTGTTTCTATAGGTAAATACACATCTGAGTTGACAAATATGACATGTGGGGTTCCTCAAGGCTCCATCTTGGGGCCTCTTCTCTTTAACATCTACATGCTACCACTGGCTCAGATAATGAAGAACAACAAAATAAGTTACCATAGCTATGCAGATGACACACAAATGTACGTAACAATTTCACCAGGAGACTATGCTCCAATTCAAACACTGAGTAAGTGCATTGAACAAATCAATGACTGGATGTGTCAGAACTTTCTCCAATTAAACAAAGATAAAACTGAGGTAATGGTTTTTGGAGCCAAGGCAGAACGTATAAACGTTAGCGCTGAGCTTCAGTCTGCAATGTTCAAAACAACAGATAAAGCCAGAAATCTAGGTGTAGTCATGGACTCTGACCTGAGTTTCAACAGTCACATTAAAACTGTTACTAAATCAGCCTACTATCACCTAAAGAATATATCTAGGATTAAAAGACTAATGTCACAGCAGGATTTGGAAAAACTTGTCCATGCTTTTATCTTCAGTAGACTCGACTACTGCAATGGTGTCTTCACAGGTCTCACTAAAAAATCTATTAGGAAGCTGCAGCTAATTCAGAACGCTGCTGCTCGAGTCCTCACTAACACTAAGAAAGTGGATCACATCACTCCAGTTCTGAAGTCTTTACACTGGCTTCCTGTGTGTCAAAGAATAGATTTCAAAATACTGCTGCTGGTTTATAAAGCACTGAATGGTTTAGGCCCAAAATACATTTCTGACCTCCTGCTAAATTATGAACCATCCAGATCTCTCAGGTCTTCAGGGATTGGTTAGCTTTCTGTCCCCAGAGTCAGAACTAAACATGGTAAAGCAGCGTTCAGTTATTATGCTCCAAATATCTGGAACAAACTCCCAGAAACCTGCAGGTCCGCTGCAACTCTTACTACTTTTAAATCCAGGCTGAAGACTTTTCTTTTTGTCGCTGCTTTTAATTGAACTATTCATATCTTAGACTGCACTGTAACTTTTATCCATGTATTTTTTCTTTTAATGTTTATTTTATTAGCTTTTCTTTTTAATGACTGATTTTAAATGCCATTTTCTTAATCTCTTTCATTTTTTGTAAAGCACTTTGAATTGCCTTGTGTTGAAAAGTGCTATATAAATAAACTTGCCTTGCCTTGCCTTGCCTTACATAAGAGAATGGAGACACTTGAGTATTGTTGAATCCCACATCAACTAGTTCATTTATGAGCATTAATGAGTTCTTATAACTATAATTATACAGTGTTATAAGCTGATTATAATACATTATAAGAATGTTCATAATGCATCAGACATTGGGTGCATAGCAAGTATTAGTGTATTACCGCTTCATTTATTATGCTCTGATTCTTCCTTTGAATAAGATTACATTGACAATGTACACATGGTTCTGACAGGATGTCATTGTAAAACAATATAAGCAGACATCATACATACAGACGTACTGGGAAGCTGTGGTTGACAAACAGCAAGTCAAATAATGTATGGCAGCTACAGACAATTTCTCCAGAGGGTCAATTGCCAGAATTCAATTTTCAAATATTACATGACATTCTTCCAAATATGTAAAACCTGTACAAATGGAAGCTTGTCCCTACTCCTCTATGTGCTGTTTGTTTGGTCACAGAGGAGACATACCATTATGTTTGTTTTATGTCAATGCTTGGGCAACTCAAGTTGCTGCCCTTATCTTGTCTTGTCTCTGTTCAAAGTGGAATTTACACAGAAATAGCCAAATATCATTCTGGGTCTTAAAGGTGGGGTAGGTAAGTTTGAGAAACCGGCTCGAGATACACTTTTTGTTATATTCCATGGAATGCTCTTAACATCCCGATAGCAATGAATATCTGAAGTGCTTTGACAAAAAATCCATAAAAAAATGTCATCTGTGGAAGCTGTGGTACTGTAAAAAGTACGACCAATCCGGGCCGACTTGCCTTGCCTTAGTGTGTTTCTCATTAAAATTGCAAAGCATCTGAAAATGTGCTTTTCTTTATTTGCTGGACAAAATGGCGTAATTGAAAGCCTTTTGTTACAAATATGCATGTTTTTTTTATTTTAAGCGAACTAAGAAGCTTGGATACACTATTTTCCATTATAATAACTACAGGAGATTACTTTTTCTATGATGACATGCATTATAATACAGCTCTGAGAATGAGCTATAAAGTAACACTTTAAAGAAGAAATATCTGAAAGGCTTTCAGCATTTGGCCACTATTTCATTTCCATATAACAGCTTCTCTGTTTTATAATGGGATCAGCAGTTGAGGTAAGCGAGCCCGTTGACTGAGGTCGCAGAATCAATAGGTCATACAATCTTTGATGTCAATGTACTGTAAACGTTGTAAGATGAAAGGGTTAGGGCTTTAATAGTCTAAATATTAAAGCGGCCATATTCTGCTCATGTTCAGGTTTATTAAGTGCCTCTACTGGGACATGCCTCCATGCTTTAATGTTCAAAAAGCTCCTTATTTTTCTCATACTGCCTGTGCTGCAGCACCTCTTTTCACCCTCTGTCTGAAACCAGAGCCCAGTCTGCTCTGATTGGTCAGCTGGCCGGCTCTGTTGTGATTGGTCAACCAGTTAGAGATATCCGCCCCTTAGCTTAACACGTACAATGTGTTGGAGCGCCAGCCAATAGAAACGTGAGTATTACGTAGTGATGTCACTATGCTGCTAAAGTAAACAAAGTAGTACAATAGAGCCGGGGGGGGGCGGTGTGGGAGAGAAACTTCCTCTGGAGGGAACACAGGGATTTTAGCCTTTACAGACCATTTTGAACAACAATCTAAATAACATTCAAGGGAAAACCCCCAAAATCTAAATATCGTTTGAGAGGTTGCACTACTCAAATAGGACACAGGTGTGCATTGGGCACTTAAGGAAGGGAAGGGAAAACCCCAACAAGCATAATAAGGCCTCTTTAAAGGCTCGGACACACCGGGCCGATTTCGGCCGTCGATGTGGTCGTCGATGAGCGTCCTGTCACCCCACTCAGATTGTATGAAAGCAACAAAGCAACAGTTTGATGGATCAATAAATAGCCAGACAGACCGAAAGAGAAACAGGACTAAACGGAGAGATTGAGAAGGGGAGAATGCTCCTGCTAAAGGACAAACCTCTGAACTGTCGGATCATGGTCTGGTGTTTCTCAAGGGCGTCTTCCAGGATTTTCTCAGCAGGGTCCATTTTCCAGCGCCACTCTGTGCCCACAGGGTTGGTGTTGTGTCTGTTAGTGCGGCACAAAGATAAACCGGTTAGGAATAACAGCAGGCATACTGTGTAAGGTAAGGAGTGGTATTATACTATAAATGCCCATTACAGGTCACCTATTATGCAAAATCCACTTTTTCTACATCAACATGTGTCCCCTCTGTGTAAAGAGATTCTGAAAGTTTCAGGGAAAAAAGATTCGCTCACTTTTTGTCCTGATCCATTTATATAAAAACCTGTCTGAAAATGAGCTGATCATATTTTGGCCACTTTATGATGTCATAACGATTTATTGGCTTGTGTAACCATTAGCCAATCACCAACCAAGGTAACCCCCCCACCCACCCACCTTATCACCTGAATCTCCTCCTAGAGCACCTTTGTAGTTTTTTAAACCAAATATCTCTCAGAGGGGCGTGGGGAGTGGCTCCTTATTTTCATCTAAAGTAAAAGACAGAATCAGCACTTTTGAAACAGGGCTGAAACAGAAGGGATTATGGGATGCTACAATGCAAGATCTGTTTAGAATTTGGAGCCAAACACTTCAGAGACATGTTTGTATATATCTGAGACCTATAATACATTGATGAAAAACAGTATTATAGGGGACCTTTAAGCTGTGTCATATGTCCTGCAAATTCACACACATGATGGTTATTCCGCACACACAGATAGATACAGCACAGCCACACAATCACAACATGCAAAACAGTTACCAATCCCCAAGGAAGTGAGCCGGGGTGAGCAAATTTCCGTTGTGGCCAACGGGTGGTACTACAACGATGTGTCGGTCAAGTGACTTCTTTGTGCCCAAGAATAGATTTTTCACATCTACTTACGCTGGGAAAGTGAGTCACTTGACAGTCAGGCCATCTTGGCTTAATGCACGGCTGGGCATCTTTTTGACCATGAACAAGGCCACGTCCTCAAACGCTGAATAGATAAAAACAATACTGCGTCACTGCCTAGCTTCATGGTGGCCCCCGCACGCTCTCAGGTACGCAAACAAATAATTGGCATCAAGCAGAACAAATGTATTTGTCAAGCCTAAAAGCTGCTTTGTCCTGTATTGCACATCAACAGCAACAACAAATATTTCTTCAGTTTTCTTTACTTACAGAGATCTGTGGCTTTCGACCTTTCACAGAAATAAAACAAAAATATATACAGTGGGACCCGGTCAGTCAATATATGTACATCTGTGGGAAAACGTCATTACAGCTGAACTATGATGCAAATGAAGTAACCGTCAATGGTCAAAGTAGCATGTAGATGCTGCATTGAAATATAAAACACCAACAAGCCAAAGAAATCCGGAGTGTGTTAGCTTGCTGCTTAAAAGGACTTCGATCCCCTATTGCTTTAATTTCCCCCACAAATCAACGTCGATCATGGATCTCCAATGTACGGTGGCCGGCAGGTGCAAACGCGGAAGAACGGCCAAAAACGCATACATTAGCAGGAAACAGCTGCAATTCCTGAAATGAAAAACAAACAAACCCTGAAAACAAATCCAACCAAAAAACGCTGCATTTACAGAAATGATGCAAACTAAATACAACACACAAACCCAGAAAACAAACGCAACAAATAAACACTGCAAATACCAAAACGATATGCAAAGTCCAAAGCACATACAAATCCCAAAACACAGACAAAAAAAAACATTCCGGAAGTGCTCCAGGCCTCTAGGGGGCGCGCTACGTGGAACAGATTGATGTCTGACCAGACATAGAGGGAACGAACAAGAGTGCTGCAAATTGAAGCCGGAGTGGCTCGAAGTGGAACAAGTCGATATATAAGAAGGTACGTTTTGTTTTAATACAAAGATCGTTATATTTACCCAGCTAGTGTTAGCTTGTTTGGTAAAATAGTTTGCAGGTCAAGAGACAGCATTGTGCACCTAAATGTAACTCTTGACATCATATAGATATATTATTGGTGCAGAGGTGTTGGTTTATTGTGCCCCAATGTAAATCATAATGTGAGAGTTAAAGGACGGTCAACAATATAATATACCTTGGTCAGTTTGGATTTATCGTGGCATTTATTCTTAATTAAAGTGAATTTATTTTATTTCAGTCAGTCCTTTGTGTGTATGCAGGTGTGGGACATTCCAAATGTTCCAAAAGTGAGCACTCCAAGAATGGACAACAGTTTGCAGGGTAAAATAAAACATTGTCAACATATTATTTTGTGCCACAAGAAGCAGAATGTTTTAACAGTACAGTAGTTTGAATATATTTGTTGTTTACCTTTATCAGACCTCTCAGGCACCCACAACCAGCGTCTGATCGGATAACACTAATTAAAAATGTAATTATACCATGTAGGTTTGAATTTGTGAACATGAAATCAATAAATACCTTTGTATGCTAATGACACTGTCATTAGATCAACTGCACTTATTTCCTGGGTAAAAATAGGATGGAGCACCAACCCCATTCCAGGAAGAGGTCCAGTCTGCCCCGGGTCAGAACCACCTCTATAGGTAAACGAGGTTGACAGTTGCATCGTGACACAGTTGTGTGGTGTGTATCTTTATTTGTACATTTGTTTGTATAGCCTCCAATCACAGTGGGTAACATTGCCAGGAAGCAGAACAATTATACGTTCATACATTCCCAAATGACACCCACAACATCTGACATTTTAGTGAAGATAATACAAAAAACACCCACAAATATTTATCAAAGATCAGATATTGTTTGATGCATCCATTTCAAATGTTTACAAGGATTGTGCAGGAGTATGACAAAAGTACTGTTGTCAGTTTAGAACCCAATGTATTGAAAAAAAAACAGGAAGAGGATCAACATCCTTTTGTAAATATGACAAACTGTTACGTGCCGCAGTTGGTGCTTGTGTGTGTGCTTTTGTGTGTGTGTCTCTCTCTCTCTCCCTCTGATTGTCTCCAGGTGCAGCCTCTCCCCAGGTGCTCCCAATCCCCAATCAGCGCCCCCATAAAGGACCTGAGGAAGGCTGCAGTCGTTCTCTCCTTCTCCTCTGGCTGCATGTGTGCAGCCTGTGTTACGTGCTGTAGTGTAGTGTCTCTGTGTGAGGCCTAGTTTAACCTGTGTACTGCTAATTGTTAGGAGATGTGTGTCTTTGTGTATTGTTTTACGTTAGTCCCTTTCTTTTGAAAGAAAGTTGTCCTTAGTTAATTAAGTTTGTTTTGCAATTTGGCTGGTGAGCCTCTTTACTTTTTTATTAATTAAAACCTCACTTTGTGGCTTCAGCATTCAGTGTCCTCTCCTTTTTCTCTCGGCCGGTTATTTTGTGTGTTGTTACTTCCCTTTGTACCCCGAGATTTAGAAGGGAACGTAAAAGTCATCCATATATTATGTATTTGAAAATAGTTATTCAACTGTCTTCTCACTGCAGCAACTACACAAATGTGTATGCACTTGTCATTATTGATAGCCAGTCTGAGCCAGAAGACAAAATGGAGCAAAGGTATTAATTGTTACTATTACCACTTAATTGTTCTATTCTATACTGTAATCTTATTTAATTTAATATTACAATACATCACTTTGTCTTTCCCAGCACAGAATACCTGACTGCGGAGGACATTGTTGCAGAACTCTCTGCAAAAATAACAAATACAAATTGCAGCAGGTTCAATATGAATAGAGCCAATGTGTGGGATGGAGAAATCTGCGGCTTCAAAGGTGCCTCATTCGATCCCTCTCATGAGATGTCAGTTAAGTTCACTGATGATGAGGAACACACTGAGGATGGAGGGGACACTGGTGGTCCCAAGCATGAGTTCCTGACCCTCCTTATGGAATGCCTGAGAATGAAGAAAACATCACGTCAGCAACTGTTTGTGCCCCATGGCGGTGTGACTTTCCCAGCCGCTCACTGTCTCAAAATCTGATTCTAAATGTATAATGTTCTCTATAAAGATAGAACTAATACACAATTATGAATGTATAATATAAGCTGTTTTGTGTATTTAATCATGCATTGGTCTACAATGTAATGATGGCTTCTACATATTTCACATAAACAGACAATGAAAAAACGTGTCCTTCATGCTGATAACTAGTGTATGCATCTGCCAATTACTATTCTAAACAGAGCAGTGTGTTGAATCCTTATTTCTTGCATTTGAAACAGATACAATAAAAAAAAAGTGAACTCACTGTTGTGTTCAACTTCTGCCACAAACTGTACATGTTTGCCACAGGAGCCACAGAACACTTGAACTGTCCCCAGATGTTGGCCACAGAAAGGACACAACATGGCGGCCTGAAAAGACATACATTGATGTAGTAAATCCATTTAATCAAGTCAATCAAAAACACAGTCTAAATAGTGGTTAGCTAAATAAATAGAAAGATACATCATGTTTACCGTTGAATCTGTGTTCTGTCTCTCTTTCCTTGAATGTCTTCTCTATATTTGTTCTTGAGCATGTCTCATGCACACTACTCTCCTGTCATTACTTTGTCCCTCTTCACATTTTGTCACTTCTCTCTCTCTCTCTCTCTCTCTCTCAATTCAATTCAATAGCTTTATTAGCATGACCAAAATTACAGGCAATTGCTAAAGCTCTGTATAGTTGCAACATCTATACACAAATACATACATATACAAACTGCTAAGAATTCAAATGTCCTTTTTCCGCGGTACTCACTACGGCCCGTGTTATTTGCATGCACTTGATTCGTCATCTCTTTTAACAATGTTCTTCCCTCACTTTATCTTCTCTTCACGTGAAGCTCTCCTCTCCTCAGCTGGTGTAGTAGTTAGGCATGCTAACGCTAGCTATATAAATATGACGCTCTATGTATCAAAACAAAACGTACCTTCTTATATCTTTCTCCCCTTAAATGAACTTTCTTTCCTCCCAATTTCCTCTTGTTCGTTTTCTCTAGGTCTGGTCAGACATCAATCTGTTCCACGTAGCGCGCCCCCTAGAGGCCTGGAGCACTTCCGGAATGTTTAAAAAAAAAAAAGTTTGGGGGATTTGTATGTGCTTTGGACTTTGCATATCGTTTTGGTATTTGCAGCGTTTTTTTGTTGCGTTTGTTTTCGGGGTTTGTGTGTTGTATTTAGTTTCCATCATTTCTGTAAATGCAGCGTTTTTCTGTTGCATTTGTTTTCAGGGTTTGTTTGTTTTTTATTTCATTATTTGCAGGTGTTTCCTGCTTATGTATGCGTTTTGGGCCGTTGTTCTGATTTTCTTCCTCATACTCCTTGCGCCCTTGAACGTACATTTGCTGCTATTACATTGATAGAATATGTACACATCTAGACGCCTGACTCAGATTCAGGTCATTAGACTCTGGTCTTTTGTCACAAACAAAGTTAAAAACACATTTCACGAGATTCAGAAGAGAAACCTTCTAACCATTTGACACTTATTCCATCCTATTAAATCAGTTATGGAATGCATCATACTGTAATAAATTGCACCTCCTGGGTGTTAATAACACCTTCTGAGTGTTAAAATGTGATGTCTAGATGCAATAACCTACCTATGGCGGCTATAACAACATCTGTGCCCAGAAATTAATTACTTCCTGTCATCCCACATAGCTGCATAAAGGGAGACAGGCATATCTGTAGTGACAGGGGGGCAGCACTTTCTGACAGCGACCTTTCAGCTCTCAACACTGTCGCTTTCTCTTTTTGGATTCTGAGGGTAGTAAAAGGCCCGGTGTCTCGACAGTGTCATAATGAATCAGTGTCCACCTTAAGGCCTCGCAGTTACGCAGGCCGTTACTCTTCTGATGTTAATCATTAACTTGTTTGCCACGGAGAGATTGTCGCTCAATCTCTGAGTGATCCTGGTTTACGAAGTAAACAAGTTAGCGTGCATGCAATAATCCATTAAAAAAAGCATTTAAAAGTACCCTGCCAACTTGTGGTTGGATTCTACTTTGATTCAAGTTGACATATCTTAAGGAACATTATTTTTAACAACCCATTAAAGTGTTAGTTAATGGGACAGCAGTACACAATAAATGTATTATTTACTAATTACTAAAAAAACACCTTTTTGATTATGACACAAAAGTGGAAGAAAAGACCATTTGCGCTAATCTACTTTGTTTAAAATGGGACATCGTTTTAACCTCTATAATTAAGAGGAAAAAATGGACTTGTCCATTCAAGTTTAACACACATGAATACATAGCCTTATAACAAAGTAACATACAATTAATACTTGATTATACATAATGAAAAATCTTCCAAAACACTTATAGCAAGATGTAACTGTCGTCCACTGGTTCTGCTTCTGTTATATTGTCCAGTAAACACTTCTTCAGGGGGTGCACGTTCTGATCTCCATGCGTAGCCTTTAGATGGAATATTTATCTTAGCCTTCATGCTGTAATGTCCCATCTCATAGCAAAATCCCTTGATGACATCTGAAGCAACATCATTACCATTTTAATTGGACGGAACTGTAGTCAGAAAACTGAGACTTCTGTAAAAGAACAGTAAACGCTAGATCTTCTATATGTTCTCTGGAGTGTTGAGATTACTAATATACTTGGCTGTAAATCATCTCAGAAGTTTTAGGTTTTGTTCTTCATGTTGACCCAAACCCATAAGACAATAGCAGTGGAAGAACAGCTGGAAGTAACTGAAGGGGAGTCATCCAGCTGCCTTCATTGACACCCCAGTCTGCCTCCAGACGCAGCTCCTTAACCTGTTAAGCCCGAGCCTGTTTTCCAGGTCTCAGGCTCGAAAATGACATTCCCAGAACAAATGACTATAACTTCACTTCTAAAAAGGGTAATTTTATAATCTTTTTTCTCAAAGCAATGATAAACCTGTGAGTTTGATGTAGAAAAGTCAGAATCAATATAGAATATTTTTATTTTAAAGTAAATTCAGATTGAACATAGTAAAAATACGTAAATTATAGTGTCCGTCCAAAAGAAAAAATAATTACTTATAGTGAAAACCACCCTTGAATGATGGGATAGCAGACTAAAAGCTTTAGGAATCCAAACTATAACATATAATAAGTACCCTGTATCAAGATTGATGCAAAACAAGTGACATTTGACCTTTTTAGAGAGGTTTAGCACAAAAAAAAAATTCTGGGGTCATTTGGGTGGATTTTCCATATCTCTATATCAGGGGTGCCCAACCTTTTTTGAACCGAGAGCTACTTTTAAAGTTGCCAGACTGCAGAGATCTACCAGTCCAAATAGAGAGGTGTAGCCATTACTGACAGCCTACTACCAGGTAAATACACACTTCTACTTGTATAAAACTGACCTTTGTACGATTAATACTTCATAAAATACTGCAGATCCTTTATCTTACCTCTTTCTAATCTACACACATACAAGTATTTAACTGAAGTTACACAACAGTGTTGTTGATACAGAGTTGGAGTTTATTCACACGTCACATACTACAGTGGGTAATGTTTTCAAGAAACATTGAACAGTGCTGCCACATATGATACAGGGATAAAAGAAAAGACTCTGAACCCTTTCTTTGACATTATATACAAAAGTATAAATTAGGCTTACTAATAAGACAACTCAGATCTGAAGCTACAGGAATCTGCTGCAACAGTGCAATAAAAAAGACAAAATTAATAGAATCAAACCCTTTTTTTGTTGCATTTTAGTAGAATATAAAAAGAAATGCCTTTTTAAAATAGGATGCAAGCAACACTAGTTTCTTAACCTGAATTGATGACTATAATAAATTTAAGTTTGCATTCTTATACCATTTTGTACAATAATTATAATGAATAAGTTCAAACAAACTCAAACTTACAGCTGATTAATAACGGTATCTAACTTGAGTTTTTATCATATCAAAAACCTTTTTGAATGCTACTGTTATTTTTAGTGTCACCAAAAAGCGCGTCGCAGCCTCCATGAATGCTTCTTTCACAACTTCGCCGTCTTTGAAACACTTCATGTGTTACGCAAGAACGTGACTGACACGATAAGATGCTATGCTAGCAGCCTTGCTCTTGTTGTTGGGCCTGGTGAAAATGGACTGCTGTGCATTTAGCTGTCCTTTCAGGCCCCTCCCCTTTTGGGAGCGTAGGGCAGAATTAGGAGGGAATTCCGTCTCGTAGCGTTTGTGCACTGTTTTGAAATGCCGCTCCTAAATTACCCTTCTTCGATAAAGCCACGCTCGCATTGCAGATGAGACAGATGGACTTTGAATTGGAATAGATACAAATATAATCATCCTCCCACTCGGAGTGAAAATTATATATGTTTTGCTTCTGCCATAATTGCGGTCTTGTGTGTGTGCGGACTGTCACTCCTGTTGACACGGACAACGTTAGCGAACTAGTGCACTGCCCACTAGCCACGCCCCGACACATGGGGTCACGCCGGCCAATCACAAAGCTTTGATGCGTTCAAGTGCATTATTCTGGCACAGGAAGATTATTTTATAGGACATTAACGATAAAACAGAATATTGTTGTTCTATTTTTAGACACATCTCGCGATCGACTGGGAATCTCCCCGCGATCGACCGGTCGATCGCGATCGACTGGTTGGGCACCCCTGCTCTATATCTTTGGCCCCCCTTGGTCGATTTTGATGATTGACATCTCTTTTTAACCGTCAGAGCCAATATAATTGTGGGGAAGGTTCCTAAATCCACCTACACGTTACCAAATAAGGAGTGAGAGTGATGCGTAGCCAGAATACCCAAAACAGGAAGCTGTCATACACTCTGGTCAAATTGTTTATCTAAGTTGTATGTTACAAGCATGGTTAAGTTGTAAAATAATACATAAATAACTGTATTCAGCCCTATATTTGAAAAACCAAGTAATCTGATTACAGTTAATGAATATATTTGGAGGCATTGTGAAAACTCCCACTTTTGAGAAAATCTCAACACTTTATTCCATCTAAGCACGAGTATTTATGACAGACACGCCATATATTCCAAAAATAAATATCTCTGGGCCCTAAAGAAAAATATACTAATCAAAACGGTCTTTAGTGATATCAATTGTGAACTTTCTTAACATTAATTGTAAATTTAACGTATGTTCTCTTTAGAACAAAGATAGGATGGTCGCAGCTGAAACTGGTTAATAGCAATTTTCTGTTAACCTCATGCTTAAACATTAACAGATTCCTTCTGACTGACACACTTATAAAAAACCTTCTGCTTATTACTTACTCTTTCTTCATAAACTTAAAAATACAATTGTGGTGAATCGTTGACTATCTACTTTAAACAACCACCAAATGAGAGTCACTATTGTATGATAAATACAACTCCTAAATAACATTACAATATATATTTCTTACAGTGAGTTTGTTATTTAATGTTAAACAAATTCTCCTCTTTCTATGTCTTGTACTAGGTGAAAAAATCCACTATTATGTTTAATTTGAATAGACATTAACCTTTCTATATGTACTTCATATACAAGCCGGAGCCCTTGGGGTGCTAGGGGGACGCTGCCGTAGAGCCCCTCTCAGAAAGAGGGACACCAACCTGTGGCGCCATCGACTTCAACATGTCGGGCAGAGATAGCGGCCATATACACCTTCAAAGTGAAGTGAGAACGTCCACTATCCAGAAGGGACTGCAGGAACCCTAAAATGGTGGCCACGGAGAAATGCCCCGGATTCTCAGCCTTACTCAAACACCAGTGGGAGAAGAGCTTCCATTTGCACTCATACTGTGCTCGAGTGGATGGTGTTCTGGCATTCAGGATAGTTTCCCTGACAGATGCTGTGAAACCACTCTACAGTGGGTTGGGCCCCGCAGAGGCCAAGCCCAGAGCTGAAGGCGGTGAGGGTCGGGATGCCAAATCTGACCCTTGAGCTGTGACAGAAGGTCCTTCCTGTTGGGGAAACACCATGGTGGGCTGCATCAGAGACTGCGCAGAAGTGGGAACCAGACTCTCCCCGGCCAGCGGGGGGCAACCAGAAGGAGCCTGTGCCTCTGAGTAAGGACCCTCTGAAGCGTCTGAAGTATCAGAGGCAGTGGCGGGAAGGCATACAGGAGAATGTCCGGCCAGTCATGCGCCAGAGCGTCCTGGCCCATCGGGCTGGTCACCTCTGTCCAGGAGAACCAGAGGGGGCAGTGCCTCCACTCTTCTGAGGCAAAGAGGTCCACCTCGGCCCTGCCGAAAATGCTCCAAATTGCCTCCACCACCTCTGGGTGAAGCCTCCACTCCCCCGGTGGAGGCTTGTGCCATGAGAGGAAATCTGCGACCTGACGGCGCGCAAACCAGCCAGTCGTCTAGATACGGCAGGACCTTCACGCCCTGTGCCTGCAGGGGAGCGAGCGCTGCCGTAACGACCCTGGTGAACACCCTTGGAGAGAGGGAGAGACCAAAGGGAAGTACCCGGAACTGATAATGCCGGCCCTGAAAGGCGAACCTCAAGAACTTCCGGTGATGGGATGTAATTGGCACGTGGAAGTAGGCGTCCCTCAAGTCCACAGTTGCGAACCACTCCCCCTGTGCGACAACACGAAGGGTGTCTGCTGTGGTTAGCATATGGAAGGGCAGTACCTTCAGGAATCTGTTGATTCCTCTGAGGTCCATAATTGGACGGAATCCGCCGACTTTCTTGCTCACAAGAAAGTACGCCGAGTAGAACCCCCCGGACTGAAGCAGAGGGTCCACTGGCTCGATTGCGCCCTTGGCCAAGAGGACGGACAACTCTTGATCCAGAGCTAAGGCCTTCACCGGATCGCTGACAACTGTCATTCTGTCCCGGCCGAAGGCTAGGGGCCAGCGTCGGAACAGCAATTCGTATCCCTGGGTTATGGGTTAGGGTTAGGGTGGAAACCACCCAAGGGTCGGAAATACAGGCAGCCCAGTAGCTGAGCTGTTGCTGGGTAAAGCAGCCGACGACCGGCCCCGGGACTTCAGGGCCTAGCCCCTCGGCCCCTGGAGCCCCTTGGGGTGCGCCGGTAAGGCTCTGAGGCACGAGGCCGCCTGGAAGGCAGGCGACCTGGGGCACGAAAGTCATTGGGAGGCGGTTAAGTGGGCCGCTGAGACCTCTGCAGACCACCCCTGTAAGCCGGTGGCTGAGTGCGGCTGCTAGAGCGGCCCCTGGGCCTGCTGGGAGTGGGCACAGGTCTGCGAAGACCCGAAAGCTGCTGCCTGGTCTGCCTAGCTTGGGCAGCACGCTCCAGTGCCTCCAGGGCAGCTGACCCAAACAGCTCCCCTGGCTCGACTGGCACGCTACGGAGGACTCTCCTACATGTCTCCGTTAGTGGTGACTGGGTCAGCCAAACCTGGCTACGAGTCTGTACCAGAAAGGACATAACTCGTCCCAATTCCCTAGCCATTAGGGCAAAGGCCTGCAGTGATGCATCACTGAGGCCCAGCAAAGAAGGCTTGGCCGGAGCCTGCTGCAGAGAGGTGGAGACAGCCAGCATTAGATGGGAGAGGGAGTTCCCGATACGACCCATGCGTGCCGCTGCATCGTAGGCCCTACTGAGCAGTCCGTCTGTGACCCTGCACTGAGGCTCGTCAGGAGCCAGAATCAGGGAGGCGATGGCAGGCTCAATGGGTGGCATGCCACCCAGCCCCACCCTCGCCGGATCCTGCATGGCAGCCAAGGTCCGGGCATCAGAGCCAGCGTGGCAGAGGGCCCTGGTGTCCCTCCAGCATGCATGGAGCTCCCTCAGGTACTCCTCTGAAGGAGGAACAGTGAGGGGGACAGGGGCAGGGCTACGCCTGAAGAAGGCGCTAGCCTGAGCCAAGTCGGCCTGCGGAACCGGAATCTGCAAGTGCGCCAGGGCCGTACGAATAATGGCCGCCATGGAGACGTCCTCCACGCCCTGCAGAGAACCCTGAGCAGAGGAGAGGGAAGCCTCCTCGAGCGGGACCTCGTCCTCCATCTCTTAATTGAAGAGGTTAGCCGCTAGCGACAAGGCATCCTCATACAGAGGTGCGGCAACCGAAGGAGGAGCAGGCGGCACGCGAGCAGCCCCTATACCGGGCACTGGCTGAAGGGCCAAGAGGAGCGACTTCATCATGTCCATATCGGCAGCTAGCTGATCCACTTTAGAGGACAGCCTGTTTCTATTCCTCCTATTGGGAGGTGCACCCATAGCCATTGTTACGACCCTGGGTCGTTATATCATTTGTGTGTAGATATGTTTCCCTCCTCCTGTGTCTGTGAGTGTGTGTGTGTGTGTGTGTGTGTGTGTGTGTGTGTGTGTGTGTGTGTGTGTGTGTGTGTGTGTGTGTGTGTGTGTGTGTGTGTGTGTGTAATTCTACCGTATAACTGGTCCGTTAGTATATTTTGAAATCTTAGAAAGATAAACTAAGTTAACCTGTCTTGCAAGACACGTTTTGTTTAGTTTAGGAGTGAGAAACCCTCTTTTTGATTGAACCTTATTCTCCTGTTTACTGGTAAGAGTAGGTAAGAAGCCTGTATTTTATTTTATTTGTTTTGTTAGGCAAGTTTAAGGAATCTCTGTAAAGACGTTGCTTGTTTGTTATGTTGGGGTTGTCTCACTTCTTTTTGAGTTATTAAATCTCAAAAAGCTGATTTCCTGTGTCGTTTACCATTTCTTGGGGGTGGGAAGAGTTGGGAGAGGGCAATTTTATGCTGCGCCTAGGTTCCCCTAGATCTGAGCGTAACACCATCGCTCCCTCAAGTTGCCGGGAACGGCCGAACTGATCTGGAGGAGGATGTGACAAGGAGAGGTGTCCGTTGGCTGCTGCCAGACGTTCCACCTCAGTGATTCTAGCCACTCTGAACGCCCGAGGCATGCAGCTACAGTTCATGCAGGCGCTTACCGTGAGAGCCTCCCTTAGATGCTCGAGGCCGAGGCAAGAGGGGCAGCGGTCATGGCCGTCCTCGGGCTCAAGAGAAGCCATAAAGGCGCTACATGAATGAGCCATTCTGTAGGTAGCCAGATGCAGCGTAGCCGGGAGCGGGTGCGGGAACACAGCCTTCACCAGCTACCTGTTTAACGGAAAGAGTAGAGCGGTGCTGCTACTCGACGAACAGAAAGAGGGGTGTAATTAAACCCACGATACCGGCAGAGGGAGCGGGAACGAGAGCACTACCTTCACCTAGCTGGATTAATAAACAAGGCAGTTTAGCGTCTACCAGGAGCGGGGGCGAGAACACTGCCTTCACTGGTTTAGTTAGAGATGAATGCCAGATGCAGCGTAACCGGGAGCGGGTGCGGGAACACAACCTTCACCAGCTACCTGCTGAACGGAAAGAGTAGAGCCTAACTAATAAAGCAGTTAGCGTCTACCAGGAGCGGGGGCGAAAACACTGCCTTCACTGGTTGAGTTAGAGACGAATGCCAGATGCAGCATAACCGGGAGCGGGTGCGGGAACACAGCCTTCACCAGCTACCTGCTGAACGGGAAGAGTAGAACGGTGCCGCTACTCGCCGAACAGAAAAAGGGATGTAGCTATACCCACGTTACCGGCAGAGGGAGCGGGAGCAAGAGCACTGCCTTCACCTAGCTGGGTAGAATAAAGAACCTTCAACACAAAGCTAAGACCAGAAACTGGCTTCTAAAGAAAAAACAGCACGGGAAACTCCGGTGCTTATCCCGGCGTCAGCCGAGTGGCAGCAGCCGCTACTGCTAACTAGCCAAACAAGAAACACAGCTAAAGCCGGAAACTCAAAATGCTAATGATAGCTTGGCACAACGCCGCGGTCAGAACAAGTACAAAAGCACAGCAAGGGCAACTCCAGGGTAGGGATGGGTGTCGTTAAGGTTTTAACGGTACTACTACTTTTATCGATACCGCTTATCGATCCGGTCTTTTAACGGTACTTTTATCGGTTCTTTTGGAGAGAAAAATAAGGTAAACTAACTAAACAAATTGTAAACACAACTAACATTAAATACATAATATTTCACATCAAAAGAAACAACAATGTTTTAACAAATCGTATTAAATAATCTGATAAAAGAATTGTAAACAGAATAGCTGAAACTTTAACAAAAATAAATAACCTCTAGTTACCTCTAATCATTAACCCATGTTTGTAAATTTTTTGTTGGAGACAGGTGGGTGGTGGGACCCAGAGCACTAGTGGGCAAACAGTTTTTTACCAGGGTGTTTCAAGCCACACAAAGGAAAGCCATAGGAAAGGCTTAAAGGAAAGAGATATAGGAAACCTGTTCATTGTATTTTGTTATTGGAATAAAATGCACAACGGAGAATCTTGTCTGGACCTGTATCATTGCCCTGCGTAAGATCCGCTAACTAGTGCCTCAGCAGCTGTATTATTTTAAGTTAATTATCTGTTTTAGTTCTATATGATTTTGGCCGCTACAATTGTGTTAACTCTGTGTGTTGCTGCTAGCATACATAATACCTGACGTCACGTGGAAAAGTTACTCGTGGATGGGGATACAGAGCTGCTAGAAAGACAGTCGAACTCGTTAGCTTAACCTCACTTTGCAATTTAGTTTGTCTATAAATTATAGACAAACTAAATTGCAAAGTGAGGTTAAGCTAACGAGTTGGAGTTAGAGAAAAGGTAAGCTAGTTAGCTAGCTAAATGTTAGCTGCAAAAGATGAATTCAGACTTTTATTTGAAGTCTGACTATTAGTATGATCCAAGCCATCTCTGTCAAACTGCCCCCTGAGACTCTGCAGTGGCTCTTCTCTCCAGGTACATACCTCCAGCAGAAGACACACTTGTTAGCGCAGGCGAGGCTGGGAGTAGTTTCCATGCAGCGGTGGGACTCGATCCCATAGAAAGTGTGCTTGTAACAGCCTCCTCTCCCTCGCAACATAGACTGAGCAACAGAAACAATGCTTTTATTGTTAGGGATGCAAACAGTTAGTTACAAAGTCAAATTCTTCACTGAGAGGAGTAAATTCCATTTACCTTGGTCCATCGACAAAGCTTCACTCCTGAATGACTTCCGATGAGTTTGTACCCTACACAGAAGAGAAAGAACAACATGGCTCTCAATCAGTAAACTTCTTTCTGACCAGATATTTAAACATAAAAATCTAGAGGATGTATTTTCTTAGAATGGTACATCAGTAAAGGTCCCGCTCAATATTATCGTTTGGCTACTGATCTTCACATCTGCAATAGGAAGGAAGGAATATCGCTTTAAATTCTCTTTCAGCTAAAAGGAAGATAAAGTGTTACAAATTGACTTTCTTCAAAAGTCTGCCTCGCTATCCTCTTTATCCACAGCCTAATACCGCTGGCTATGAACGGGTCCTTTTTTACAGCCTCCTCTGTGATGTCTCTCAGAGAGAAAGGCTTCTTCTTTCTCACTTAATCTGCTCAAGAAATACCAGAAAAAGATATTGGGATTGCTTCCAAAGGGATCAAGAAGGGCTCATTTTTATCTTTTTCATTTCATCTGAACATTTAAAGTGACTTTACTAGCTAAGCCAAGAAGCAGCAGACGAGCCTGAATTCATTCATGTGTTTGATACTAGATGCATAGCCGCGGGAAGTAGGGGTGCTGGGGGTGGCGAGTGGTGTACATTTGAAAAACTGAGTGACCACCTAAATAAAGATGATACAGTATACAGTAGCATTCAATAGTCATAGTATATATTTGTATCAGTCAGGTGGCTTGAATTTATTTTCCAAATAAATAAAATCCGAGTCATCTAGGTCATAGGTCGTGGGATAGTGACGTAATTGACGCAACACACACACGCAAAAAAGGATTTTTGATTTTTTTTTTCAACAAACAACCCAATAACAAGAGTTATTACTCCTCAACCCACCACCTCTACAACTCCTCCATCTACTTGTGAGCCACCGGAGTCAGGAACTGGGAGCACTTCTCCCATTACCACCAGCGATCGAGAAAATGTGGAAGGAGAAGAAGCTAGCGTGGCTAATTTGGAATCAATGGAGAAGCCACACCAGCCAACTGACTTCAATTTTCCCGGTAGAAAGTTTGGCAAAGAAACCTTCTGTCTGACAGATGGAAGTGGCTCCATTATGTTGAGGAAAGTGACCATATCATGTGTTTCACATGTGTCAAAGCAGTTCAGAAACGGCTAATTAACGAAGACAGCGTGAGGATGGATGTTAGCAGCTTTGTAAAGGGGGGATTCTCTAACTGGCGGAAGGCAACAGAAAAATTCAATGAACATAAAAAATCGAAACTTCATCGTGATTCAAGCCAACCTATTGCTGCTTTAGGTAGCACACCAATTAATGCCCTTCTGTCTGACGCTGCCCGGAAAACACAGAACACCGCAAGGAATGTGCTTGAATTGACGTTCAGGTCAGTTATCTTTCTTGGTAAAAAAGGAATAGCTTTTCGGGGTGACAACAGTCGTAATGGTGTTCTGTATGAACTTATGCTCGAGCGGACATACAACCTCCCTAAAGAGAGAGAATGGGTGCTTAGGAGGGATAATTGGCTCTCGGATACGATAGAATGAAATCATTAACAGTGTGCATATGCCATCCAGGCTGACATTGTGTCTCACGCTATAAAAAGCCCCTACTATGGAATAACCGCGGATAACTACATCCGTTGAAATACAACGGATGTAAGTGCCATGGAACAATTTTCACTGACCCTGCGATATGTGGACGAGAGCATGGAGATCCACACGGATTTTCTTGGATTTTACAATGCCCCCGACAGCACTGGAGAAACACTGTTCAAGTGCATCACCGATGTGTTTCTTAGGCTGAACATCCCAATTGAACGTCTAAAACAGGCATGGGCAAACTAAGGCCCGCGGGCCATATACGGCCGGTTGGGCTTTTGAATCCGGCCTGCCGAATATTGGTACAAAATTGTCCAAATTATAGTAAAGACCGCATTCATTTTGCCTTTTTCCTGCAATACCCGGCATTTCAGTTGATCCCACTAGATGGCGCACTCTAGTAACCTTTGCTGGAGTCTGGTCTATTCTCTGGCCCCGCTCGGCAACCCGGCAAGATCAAAGAACCAAATATTTCACGTTTACATTGGAGGGGGCGAGATTAACCTGAGCAATAACAGTTCATGGCGAGTACGGCGAATACAAGTTTGTTTGTTTGTTTGTTTGTTTATTTATTTAAAGGACAGTGCACATTAATTCACATTGCTGTAAATGAGCCAGTATTAGCCAGCAGGCTAATTTTCAACTGTTGTCCTTAAAGTTGTAACAAGCAGTAGCGCTGAGCAAAGTGACTAGAATGCGACCACACACTTATAAAAACACTTAGTTTAGTTTTTTTCTTCTTTTTTCGAGCGTGTAAAACCAAAGAAAATACAAATGAAACAAAAGATGATACAGACATGATAGGCTACAGTAGTATACAAATGAATGCAATAACAAAACGAAATATTTAATTAATAATTGAATAATCTGTAGTATCATTGTCTGATATCAATAAACAACAAAGCTTTAGCTAATTACACGTCCGAAAAGGGGTCGGAAAAAGTTTACACTTATTTAATCCGACCCCTTCTCCCTTTTTTTTCACTTTCTTTTTTCTTTTTACATCTTAATATATGTTAACATACAATATAAATGTATACTTTAACCTTGAATAATTTATATAATCATTCATATAATATATACAGGCAAGTTAGGAGAATGGTCTCTATATACATATATATATATATATACATATATACATATATATATGTATATATGTATACATATATATATATATACATATATATATACACATATATACATACATATATATATACATATACACATATATACATACATATATATATACATATATATACATATATACATATGTACATACACAAATTCATACAAACACAAATTCATAAATTGAATACAAAACAAGAATATAAACAGTTATGGTTTAGCAGTTTCCTCCCTGTACCTTGTGAGAATTGTGTCTTTATACCTCTTTTTGAATAGTTTGATGTTTGGACATCCCTTTAGCTCCTCCTCACTCACATTGTTCCAGATCTTCACCCCACAAACAGAAACACAAACACTTCTCTTTGTTGTGCGCACCCTAACATAAGTGAATATAAATGAACCACGTAAATTATAATTCCCTTGTCTTTCATTGAACAATATCTGAATATTCCCAGGTAATTGAACGTTTTTTGCCTTAAACATGATTTGTGCAATTTGAAATTCAACAAGATCTGACAGTTTTAATAATTTTAGCTCTAAGAATAATGGGTTTGTATGATCCCTATAGCCGACATTTGTAATAAGTCTTATTGCTCATTTTTGTAAAATAAATAGGGATTGTGTTGTAGTTTTATAATTACTGCCCCAAACCTCTGCTTACTTAAATAAGGTAACACCAATGAACAGTAAAGAATGTAGAGGGAATTTTGATCAAGAATCTGTTTTGCCTTGTTTAATATTGCAATACTTCTTGAGACTTTGGAATGAATATGTTTTATGTGTGGTTTCCAGCTCAGTTTCTCATCAATTGTGATTCCAAGGAATTTATGTTCTTTAACTCTCTCAATGAAAATCCCATCTATCTTAATGGATGCTAGTGTATTGCTATTTCCAAATATGATTAATATTGTTTTATTCATGTTTAATGATAACTTATTACTGTTTAGCCATAACTTTAGTTTGCATATTTCAGTTGTGATCTCTTCCAATAGTAGCTGTACATTGTCCCCAGAACAAAAGATATTAGTGTCATCAGCAAACAAAACAAACTTGAGTACTGTCGATACATTGCATATTTCATTAATATACATAATAAATAGTTTCGGCCCCAATACTGACCCCTGGGGGACACCGCATGTAATGTCCAAATATGAAAAACAACACTCCCAGCTTCACAAACTGTTGCCTGTTGGTTAAATAACTCCTTACCCATTCCAAAACTACACCCCTGATTCCATAACGTTCCAGTTTCTTTATTAATATGTCATGATTAATCGTGTCAAATGCTTTTTTAAGGTCAATGAATATTCCAATGGCATGTTTCTTTTGGTCAATTGAGCTAGTAATTTCTTCAAGTGAGTCTATTAAAGCAATCGATGTTGATCTATTGGCTCTGAATCCTTATTGACTTTCGGTGAGAAGTTTGTGTTTTTCTATGAAATTGTCCAGTCTGTTATTGAAAAGCTTTTCAAGAATTTTTGAGAATTGTGGTAGAAGTGAGACAGGTCTATAGTTTGTGAAGTGATGTTTGTTCCCAGCTTTGAACAAAGGTATGACTTTTGCTATTTTCATTTTGTTAGGAAATGCACCAGTTTGGAATGATAAGTTACATATGTGTGTGAATGGTTTTGAAATAACATCTATAACCTTTTTTAATACAGTCATGTCAATGTCATCACAATCGGTAGATTTTTTGTTTTTACATTTCGTTACAATATCAACTACTTCCCTTTCATCCACTGCTGTGAGGAACATTGAGAAAAGATTACGTTTTATTAAGTTTTCCAGTTTTTTTTCTGATGTTCCTCTATCAGGGATTTTACCTGCTAATTCAGGTCCAACATTTACAAAGAAATCATTGAAACTGTTGGATACAACATCCATATTTTCCTCTTCCTTATCCTTGTCAATGAAGTATGTGGGACAACTCATTTTTCTAGACCCATTTTTTATAATACTATTCAGTATGCTCCATATTCCTTTAATGTTGTTTTTATTTTTGTCTAGTAATTTCCGATAGTATTCACTTTTGCAGGTCCTTATTATAATTGTTAATTTATTTTTACATTTTTTTATATCTAATCTCTGTCTCTTTTGTTTTATTTGTCATGAAATCTCTATACAATGAATTTTTCTTTTTACAGGCATTTTGTAAACCCCTTGTGATCCATGGACATTCTACATATTTCATTTTTCTACTGTATTTGACAATTGGGCAGTATGTATTATATAATGATAAAAACATTCTCAGGAATTGATCATATGCACTGTCAATATTGTTTTCTTTGTATAAATCATCCCATCTTTGTGCCAGTAAAGCATTTTTTAAAGCGCTC